TTTCCCTTAAATTAATGAAATCTAATGCCATGCGAATAGTTTTCCCTAAATAAACAACAATTTTTCAATTTTCAAAATTGGGATTTTGTAATTTGTCTTCTCTCCCTACATTCGCTATGAGTAGATCACATGAGAAAACTTCACTGACTCTTCATACATCTCTTTGCATTCTTTTTGTTTTATTTTCATTTCACAAATTTAGAGCTTGTATTATAGGTGATCGTAAAATTTTCATAGTCAAGGAAATACAAATATTTGTGCTTTTTAGAAGCTGACCTGTTTCATAACTATTTCAATTTCCACTTTTTAGTTATAAAATACTGGTAGCTGTTTTCGGTTTTCAAATAAAAAAAAATTGAAAATTCTTAAAAAGTTATTTGGTAACTGTTTTTAATTTTTAATTTTTGTTATTTTTAGTGTCATGAACGTGAGTCGGTTAGTGATTGCGGGTGTAACACTTGTACACTTGCTCAAGGTGGCAAGCCTATGAGATAATTTAAATTTTGATATAGTTTGTTATAATAAAATTTTCAAATACCAACTATTTGTGTGTTGGGTCAATTGTGAATTTGATGTCATATAATGAAAACGCAAGATACAAAGAGTTTGTAGGATTTTTAGGTTTAGTCCAAATTTAGCGGCCAATACATGTTGGGAACTCTCACTCTCTTTAAGGAGTTTCAAGCCCACTGCAGTCTGGCAAACCCCACGAATCGGTGCAACAACCCAACTGAATCGTTGTATAACTCAAACCTATATGCATAAAAAAGACGGTCCAAAACTCCACAACAAAGACACATATCTCTGGCTAGTTTAAAAGTACACAATATATTTTCTACAGATTATAAGAGGAATGAGAGGATATGAGATGAGTGATGAGGGATTCTTGAAAGGGTGGAGAATGTGGTGCTATTTATAAATAAGGTCCCTTCCCTATCGGCAAAAACACACTCATAACAAAAAACTCACCCCATCCAGAGATAAAGATAAAGTGCCGAGTAGGAAAAGAAGATCATTATTCACAATATCTTATCAAAATTAGTATTTGAGATTCAAGTACATGATAGAACTTACAATTAAACCAATCGAATAGGTAACAATGATGTCATCACAAATACAATCAACTAACATGGGCTACTTTCTCTGTCAAATTTCCTTTGAATTTGCTTAGTTAGCAAATAAAAAATCTGATATTGTAATATCGATCGGTTTTCAAAAAAATATATATTTATTGAAATTATTCGAAATTATTTTTACACAAAAACTTATCAAAAGCGAATTTTATTTTTCTTGGTCGAATATCAAAAGCCATATTATGCAGTAGGTTTTTTTTTGGTCAAATATTATGCAGTAGTTTTATATGTTTCCATGTAATACAACAAGCTCACATATCGATGGATTTAGCAAAAGATATTAAAAATTGTCAAGACATGAGCCTTTTTCGAATATACCCCTAAGCAAAAATCCAAGAAAATCAGGCAGCCAAATCAATAGGAGAAATCTGAATGGTCAGCGACCCCTGTCTGCCATAGTGGCACGCTGACAGCGACCTCATTGAATTCCAAGCCAATACCTACAAATCCACAATGAATGGTTCCAGGGGGGTAATTCCGTCCATCTACTTGAAAAAAAAAAAACAAAAAGAGGGCAACATCGAACGCACCCCACGTAAGGCTAAAAACCAAACTTACCTAAATTTTAGTCTCCCGCCTGCCCGCTTTGGGTACTCTCTGGCTGGTCTTTAAGGGGGATCTGGGTTCGGGTAAAGCAGTTCCACCTATTTTTCAAGGTAAAAGTAAGGAAATGCAAAGGTATTTACTGTTCATAGAAATAACGTCTGTTTTAGTAATTTTTTTGATTCATTTCCACCTATTGCCATGGTAATAAGATCAGTTTGTCTAGGCAGTAGCTCAGGCAAGTCTTGCCTTTGGGCTCGCCTGGGCTTGGTGGACCTCACCTCCTCGCAGGGCTAGGTTTCACCGCTGGAATGGGTTTTGGGAGCCTAGGGGGCCTTTTGCCTAAACTAGGCTCCCCACTAGAAATGCTCTAACTATGCTTCCTTAGCATGTGGTGTCCACCGATGTATCTTTGGCAAGGATACAGATCCTCTGTTTTGAGAAACTATAAAATATTATAATAGTATAGCCACATGGTACATCTTGTACACGTGCTATAATATAGGTGGATGACAAGATTTATTTTTCCCTATTTTAGGGAATAGTATCAATAAATATCCACTTATATTATCATGTGTACAAGATCTACCATGTAGCTATACTACCTTAGTAATCTAAAATCACTCATCTGCTTGGATATTCTCTGCCATGATTTATTTGAATTTTCTTCTACACACGTCATCTCGTTAAAATTTCATCTAAGAGGCTATAATGTTGACACATCACACAAAACCCAAACGCCTCAAAAAAAAATTAAAAAATAAATCCTAAACCTAACGTGTGTTTAACATCTTGTAGCCGCTCTCTTATTCCAATTTTTTTTTTCTTTTCAATATCTTTCTCTTAAAGAGACATCATTATCTTCTCCATCTCTATCTTACTCGTCTTCTACTACCATTGTCCTCATAGAAACAAACACAAATTCAATCACTAGAATTGTTCTTACACAACCCAGAAATTCTTTGAAAAAAATTGAGAAAAATAATTGGTTCTTACACAACCCACAAATATGCACCAATTGGACGGGGTTTTTATTTGATGATGTTGACAATTTTAACTCGTTGAACTGACATGTAGGTTACGTGGAAAAACTATACCAAGGCAACGAGATGGTATGCTAATTAAAAAAGAAATTGGGAGATTCACTATTATACCCAATATAGGAGCTCAAATAAGGCTACCTTGAGTCTCTCCATTTACCATAACAAAGTTGATTGTAAGTAGCAAACCTCTTGAACTAATGAAAAACTTGAATTTTGTTCATATAGAAAGGTTTTCACATATTTTTTTTTTAGCTAACATGTGTTTCGAAATGAGAAAAGGAAGGTTTTTAAATTGAACTAAAATAAGAAAAAGAAATCATGTTGAAAAACAACCCTTACCTCTTTCTCGTAATGTTGGCAACGAGCTTATAATTCAAGTGGTTAAAAGCAATTATCCCTACACCAAAGGCCTTTTTCCCCTTAAACCCTTTAAAAAAAAAAATGTTGGACATCATTATTTCTCTTATCCCTTGTTGTTTTTTTCCTAAAATTCATATCTGGGCATAAATGGTGTTTAATTAATTGAATCTAAAAAGGAAAACAATAAGAAAGAAGGAAATGTGTATAAACTTGGAAAGACATGCGTACGGATAATTTTAGACATGTCAATGAATTAGATTCTAATTTGAATATGATGCAGTTTTTTTTATCAAATAGAAACTTCATTAGATAACAATACTAAAATCAAACCACATTACACTAATTTGAATATGATGCAGTTAATGGGATATGAATTGAAATTCTTAATTCAATAATTCGGTGATGATTTGAATCTAATAACTCATAACTTAACAAATCAAATATACATTAGAGGTGATTCAATCGATTAATTATCTTATTCTACTTAATGTAATATAAACTTAATTTTAATATTATGTTTACAAATGATATATATGAGTAGGAACAATCTGAGTTTTTCGTGCATTGAAAATATTCTTAAATAACCTTCGTTGTACCCAAAAAAATGAAGAAGGGTAAACTTCACTTATTATACTAGATGCTCACACAGATTATTCATTAGTATATACAAGGTCCAAAATACTCATCAAAGTAGCATCTAGAAATACGTGATATGATGTATTTTTTTTTTTTTTTATAAAAGATAAATTTTAACAGTACAATCAAAGACATTAATATGACAAAGTCCAAGAGGAAAACAAACTAACATGTTAAAAACAAAACTAACAATTGACAAAATCCGTACTAAAACTACTACCCCACATCACCATAATTAACCATAAGCCTAAACAAAGTCCACATACCCAATATAACCGAAACCCTAAAGCAACACATGAGCCTAAACGAACCCTACCACCACTAACTGAAGAAGCACCGTCGTAGCCACACTCACCACCGTATTCGTAACATATTTGGGAAAAATATGGTTTCCAACGATCTACTTACGTATAAAAGCGAACAAATAAATGAAAACAACTACCATGACAAAGAACTATTAGGTAGTTTGCATCAACCTTCGTTGAAGACGTGTAGATCCAAATTTAGAGAACATGATCAGTGTTAGAGAGCAGGCTTTGGGAGAATGATTTGTTTGAGAATGCCTCAAAGTGGTGATGGGGAACTTCAATCAAAATATGGCTTAGAAGAAATCATCATAAAAGGCTTCTTATTCAAAACGCTTAGTGGACTTATTTACTAACTCAAAAGAAAAAAGCGAGGAGAAAATGAGGGGAGGAGGGGCAATGACGCTTCTTTCTCTTCCTCCCTATATGGAGTTTTTCTTTGGGACTCACAGAATGAGAGAGCGTCCAGAGTTTTCTCCACTAATTTATGTGATATATTGTTAATTTTGTACTTTTTTTCAATAAAATAATTAATAAATCCGTTTACTTATGATTTGGTGTTAGAGTCTCATAATTTTTCACAATGTAGGCAATGACTTTTTATCGTTTGAAATATGAAATTATTAGTCTACAAATCAAAGCCATTTCCAAGTATAGCTTGTTCAAATTTGATACTTTCATGGAATGAAATTAACTCCCCTCTCCCGAGTACCCCATTTCTTCATCCACTCCGGGTCCCAGCTATCCCTGGTCGGCACAGACACATGACAACTACTAATTATTTTACACAAAATATACAATTATTATTGTATTTTGTATGATGTAATTTCCTTATAACAAATATCAAAATACCAAATTTGTCTATCAAAATTGTGCGTGGCTGAGAGTCGTCCACGTGTGCCTCTTTTACTGGTCAACACCCAGATTTTCCCTTTAGATAGAAGATAGCAAGCCTAATAACATCACCACTTGCATTAGGCCTCAGCCTACACAGACACCAGAGTCTTCTCTCTTACACAAGTCCACAGCATTTCCACAGCAACTGACCAAGCTGCGTGCGCCGACGTCGTTTTGAGGACATCCATGGGAATCCAAGCCGGTGGTTGGAGGGCAATGGCTGGCGGCCTAGTCGCGAAGCCGTGCGACTCGTGCAAGAACTCCGCCGCGGCGCTGTTCTGCCGAGCCGACTCGGCTTTCCTCTGCTTGACCTGCGACTCCAAGATCCACGCAGCCAACAAGCTGGCCACGCGCCACGAGCGCGTCTGGATGTGTGAGGTCTGCGAGCAGGCTCCGGCGTCAGTCACGTGCAAGGCCGACGCCGCAGCCCTCTGCGTCACGTGCGACGCGGACATCCACTCCGCCCACCCCCTCGCCAGCCGCCACGGCCGGGTTCCGGGCCC